GTTAAAGAGTCAGGAATCTGTTGAGCTTTAAATCTTAGCTGAAAGCACATTTCTAGAGTTTATGATCTGAAAAATCATACTGTCAATCTTGAATATAAACTTCAGTATTTAGTTTTAAGTTAGTTATTGCAATCATTGGTTGATGTGTTAACACTTGTGGTTTCCTCGAAAGAAGAGGCACTTAAGAATTATTAAATCCAAAATCATTATCAATTATTATTGCTTTGGGAGCTCTGTTTCCTTAAGGGTTTGTCCTGTATGATTTACATGTGACCAGTACTGAGAACTTTTCTATTTCCACAGCCCAACCTGTGGCCAGGCTTCCCTGTTGACTACATGGTCAACCAGGCCATTGGTGGCAGCTCACAGGCCCCCACAGCCATCACAACTTGGATGATCCGACACGTGTAGAAACTTTATCGCATGTTTCGGCAGTTAACTGCTTCCATTGACAAAATAAATGTGGCAAGACAATGATAATTGCCTTAGCAAGTACACACAGTACAAAATATGAGTGAGAGTGTGAGGAAAAGAGTGCAACCCTAAAAGATTTGATTTATATCAGCTTGGACATTTACAGGTATCATCTACAAAGGATATTTTTTGTCTGTCAGTTATGAGAATGAGGAAGAAAACTGGTGGTAGTTATATGTATATGCATATAACAAAGAGAACTCACTGTGGCAGCATTTGATTTACTTTGCTGATTATTACACTCTGGGTTCAGTTTGTTAGAAAGCTGATAATACATCTTCCAAATTTTCCCCTGTTCCTTTTTGCACACATATTGTATATTATTACATCATGAGCATACTTGCTGAAGGCTATTACAAAGTCTGTGTACATTATGCCGTCATTCTGGCTGTCTTCCTGTGCCTCTAAACCCGTGTTGCTGTAGTTAGCAGTTGTAGAAGGCAGAAGCTTCCTGCTCTAAACTCATATTGTCCTGGGTTCAGTAAATATTGAGATTCCATATGATTAGCAATCCTACTTTCTAACACTATTTCAAACACCTAGATAAGGTGTGAATTGTCAGATATATTGGTAGAATTTGGTTATGCATTCATGAAAAATTCATGTGGATTGAGGATCATTTGAATTGCAATTCCCATGCACCTCTGGAAAAACAACTATAGAATGAGTGATGGTGAATGCATTTTCCTTTTTTTTTGAGTTGCCCCCACCTAGGTAAAAAAAAAAAAGGCCAATATGTTAAAATATATACGATTATAAAAGCACTAACTTTTAGTGTTTTTTATGTAACCTATATACAGTATAATAATGTACTGTAATATCTGGTAAAGTGCTATATGATTTACTAATGTAAAACAAGTAACAGTGCAACCTTTTAGTTTAGCAGTAAGCAAGACTGGGGATAAAAAGTTAGATAAATGGAACCCTCTTAATCCTGGAAACTGAGGACACCAGTTATAGTTTTCTATATGAACTTAAAATATATAATTTCCTTTGATGGCATCTGCAAACTACTCTGCATTCATATAAAACTTGTACTGCAAGTGGGAAATAAACCCAACTGCTCATCACAATAGATTATAAGTGGTTCCTCGTGCCTTTACATCCAACAGTAATCACAGCAGTAATCATGAGCCAAGTTTCCTCCATCCTTATAATGTGTGATTATTATTATAATTAAGGAGACGCTAAACCAATAGGGGTCTTATAATGCCTTGAGAATGGGAGGTAATCAGGTATTATGCAAAAAAGGGAGAAAGTAGCTCCAATTCCATGGATCAAGAGTCCTTCCCCAGCATCGACGCACAACCCTTGAAAGGATCAAGTCGGTGAGCCCACTTCAATTATTCACTGCTGTTATAATCACTGTGTGTCATGTGGTGATTTTTGAGTTAGTTAATGCATTTTTTTATTAAAACAAAAGTTAGTCAGAAGATAGTGTAAATCTTAAATTATTTTAGTGGTCTTGTGCACTCCAATAAGGCATACCCGTCGCCATCTTCCCGTGGATTCTACAGTTTCGATAAACTGTCAAGGTAAAAATAATTATATCACATCAGTAACAGGAATAAAATAATATATTACATTTTTAAGGCCACATTATTCATGTATCAATACATATAAAAATAACATTTACAAAACCATCAGGTTTAAAAAGCTTCAACAGTGACACTTAATCAAATATCAAAATATGAAGCTTGGAACAAACACTTACCCAAATGTAATCTACAATTACATAACTATTAGTAATAAATACTTGAAATATTTGACAAAAGTATTCTGCAGGCATGACCAGCAAAACACGTGAAGCAATTACCAATTGCTTTTAATAAAATAAAACCCACGATGAGACTTTCATGAAAAATAGCACAAGGCATGAATAATCAGCATCAGATTTATAATACAGTGCACATTAAATTTTTGGAGCTAGTTTGAAACTGAAATGCTTGTGGAATTGCCATCTTTTAAAATTTCTGTTGTCTTGAGTATGAAACTGATACACTGAAATCCTATAACTAACCACTGTAAAATTAAGATGACTATATATTCCCTTTTTTTTTTTTAGGAGAAACTTTCGTTTTTCCTTTTGGGCCACCCCACCTTGGTGGGGGATATGGCCAGTGTGTTGAAAGAAAGAAGAAAGATATTCCTTTTTTACCCAAAATTCTGTAGCACTGTAATAAAAACACACATAACTTATCAAAATATGTTCAGTACAGCACGTACATCAAATAATATTTTGTGTTGGTTTATTCTATATATCAGTTAATTAAGACATTATCTAACTGAATATGATGCATCAAATGATGAATACTTGCAAATGTTCATAATATTTTCTGACTGATACATATTAATTCTATACATATACTGTATATGGTGTTATGGGGCAACAGTAAGGAATCAAATTTAGAATCCTCTTTGGGGGAAAATGAGGCCTTGTGACCATGATGTGGTTTGTGATCTAGTGATAAGACATTCATATACCAAATGCTTTTATCATTATGACAATATGCTCAATAATAACCTACATGGAGACAGAAACACAAGAGATTAATTGATTTGTATATTTCAACCCCCTTCTGGGATTCTCTTCAGTTCTGCTAAGAAGATACCAGAAGGGGGTCAAAATGTACAGATCAATTAATCTCCTGTGTTTCTGTCTCCATGTGGGTTATTAGTGAGCACTGATAAGTGTTCATTACATTTTACTTATTCATGATAATATATGTATATATGACAGTATATTTGAAAGTTTTCCAAAATATCTCTTAACTCTTATTACTGAGCTCTCACCTGAAAGTTACCAAATGTAACATAAGACTAATGAGTGAAACATGATATATGTATAGCCTAATACCGTCGTGTTCAGCTAATACCGTTCTTAAAACTGAAATTTACCTCTAATCACTAAAGTTTATCACTTGTCACAGAGTAATGTCAAAGCAGTGCTATTATTAATTTTAAACAGTAAAACTAACACAATAATATCAAGAAACAGCTGACGTGTTAAAAAAAAAAAAGAAAAAAAAAATGCTAAAGACAGATAAAACTAATCTCAAGAGGGATAGTAGGAAAAGAAATAGAGGTAGTACTTCCTTTTCTACTACCTTTCTTGTCCCATCCCTGTCAGCTAGCCTATATATACAGTAGACCCCTGGTTCTCATAATTAATCCATTCCAGAAGGCTGGCCAAAATCCGTAATGGCCGAAAACCGAAGTAATATTTCTCGTGAAAAATAATGTAAATCCAATTAATCCGTTTCAGACACCCAAAAATATTAACAAAAAATAAATTTTAGAGAATAACTATAGTGAAGGGATTCAGGGAAACCGGTTATTTTATATAATCTGGTTATTTTATATAACTGGACTTGAGTCCTGGAAATGGGAAGTAATGAATAGTAATGTAATGAACATTACATACCTTTATTGATAACTCTTGTTGGCAAGTAGTATTTATCTGTAGTCCCAAATGGACTACATCTCAGGTGTATACCTACCGGCTACATACACTGCGGCCTATAGCCATATTATTACCATAGATATACAGTGGTACCTCGAGTTACAAACTTAATTCGTTCCAAAAGGCTGTTCGAGTGCCGATACCGAACGAATTTGTTCCCACAAGGAATGATGTAAATTAGACTAGTCCGTTTCAGACCCCAATAAATACACTTACAAAGGCACTTACAAAAATACACTTGCATAACTGTTCAAGTTGAGAGCTGAGTTTAATTGTTTCTAACAACTACCTTTAGATGCCATCATAAACAAAGGGAGATGTAATGAATAATTCATGGCGAGAATGGTAAACAAAAGTCTTATGTATTAAGGGCGGTTACTGGGCCAACGCAGATTCATACACATTTTCTCTGAAGCTGGACCAGAGAAAATGTAATGTTTACCCTCCACCGACCCCTCGATAGCAAACAAACACTGCATGTTTATATGCTATGTAACGTGTTTCTTACACAATTTTGAAGAAAAGATCATAGATGGATTAATGAAAATGTCTATATTAACCTAAAATAAGACATTTAATGTGCCCAAGAGTGAGTCTCGAACATATGAGTGGCCCAGGCACACGCGTCTGGTACCAACGATTTCCAAGCAGATGTACGTAACCCAGGGGAATATTTTGCCAAAAAAAAAGTGTCCTAAATCAGAATTGTATGATTTCTGCACCAGCTGAAAACTGGGGGTCCACTATACTAATCTCACATATTTATGAATGAATGCAGCATCAGTGAAATTATTTATTTCATTTACTTTATGTAACCTCACGAGTGTTGCAGGTTCAATCCTCCATCCACTTATCACGAGACAGATGTTCTACTGATTAAACTGAGGACAGAAGGAAGGGTAGATTTAAAAGGAAGATCATCAAAAAGGTTCCTCCTCCTTTTAAATCTCTCTTTCGCTCTTATGAGGCTGCTCTTACTGTTTCCAAGTATCGTGAGGACAGAAGAGCATTAATAGGAATACTACTACTCAGTATATTTCACTTATTGGGTAAGAGCACTTACTTGTGTTTCTGAAGCTGTTGAGCTCATGCCATCAAAATCACGATCTCTCTCAGTTTTCTGTTCCCCATTTATGTGATGGCCATTAGCTAATGAACCATTAAGGACCGTGCCATTTTCTGTGGGACCAGGGCCACAACGAGGATGCCAAATAGCTGTTCCTGTAAATTTACAGGCAAAGAATTTCCTATTAATTTTAAAATAAAGATTTATAACCATGTCATTACCTATAAAAATTCATGAAAATTTCACAAATTTACATTAATACATACAATTTCCCTAATATATTAATATAAATCCTCCATGGGGTAGTGGAACAGAATTCTTCCTCCGTAAGCCATGTGTGTCGTAAGAGGCGACTAAAATGCCGGGAGCAAGGGGCTAGTAACCCCTTCTCCTGTACATATTACTAAATGTAAAAGGAGAAACTTTCGTTTTTCCTTTTGGGTCACCCCACCTTGGTGGGATACGGCCAGTGTGTTGAAAGAAAGAAAGACTTATATAAATACTTCCTATGGATGATTTTTAAAACTTACATTAAGAAAAGGCACAAGAGCAAACCTTGTAAGTACATCTCCTCGCCGTCTCCAAATGGATCTCCACACTTGGTGCATCGTGCGCATGTTGGGTGGAAGTGATGATTGTCACCAGCCTGCAACACTTTGCCACTAATGAATCTATTGCAGTATGCACACTTGACACCAAACTGAGCCTGATAATCCTTCTCGCAGTAAGGCAAACCATCCCTGGAATATAAAATAAAATAAAATATTATAGTGTTTACAGGAAAATGCAAACATGGAAATGGTTAACATTAAGTTTCAATTTACATTATTATTATTCACGAATGTTTCAACTACCTTATGCAAATGCTAAACTTTTGATTATTATTTACATAGGTAAACCTCTAGTAAGCCAAAAATTGTGCAAAAACTATTTATCTACAAAACAAGAAATGACTCACACATAATCCTTTCCAAGAAGCATGAGAATTGATAAGGTGTGAACTGTACTAACACTGATAGCCATTTTTTAACAAGCAACTGAAACATCTCATTTGGTTAATTTGAAGGATTTGGGGAAGTTAGTCACAGGATAATCAGGCATAAATGCTAAACTTTCTCTCAAAGACTGTTTGTCCTGATTTTATCCTGGAGAAAATACAGGTGCAGGATATACACAAAGTAATGCAGTAAAGATGCAAAAATTCTACTTAAACACATATTAATAGAAAAAATAATTAATCATGATCAGGGCCATCATTTTTTTTAATTTATTTGTAAGGGCATTCAAATTATTTGGCTCAGTGGTGCTTCAGACCACTCAAGTTTTACTTACAGATGACTGATGGCCTATATAACTGTCACATGACTGGATTATTATTGAACCTGACCTCTATATCTTAGGTATAGATTTGTGCTCAGAGTACAAAGAAGAAAATTTTGATTTAGCTTCAGAGGAAGTTGCTTTATAGGAAACCAGCTATACAATACATGAAAAATATTTTACCTACAGAGTGCTCTACCATTATAATGTTATTAAAAATATACTGTGCTATCCAACAAATAAATCTTAAAAAATTTGAGTACGGAGCTACAAAAATTACAGGTTGATGAGTGGAACAGCCTGCCTAGTAGGGTTATTGAAGCTAAAATGTTGGGTAGTTTCAAATTTAGGTTAGATAAATACACGAGTGAGAGGGGTTGGATTCGAGTGAGACTTGCGTAATGAGTAAATAGAATCTTTCTTCGTCTTTCTTTCAACACACCGGCCATATCCCACCAAGGCAGGGTGGCCCAAAAAGAAAAACGAAAGTTTCTCTTTTAAATTTAGTAATTTATACGGGACAAGGGGTTACTAGCCCCTTGCTCCTGGCATTTTAGTCGCATCTTACAACATGCATGGCTTACAGAGGAAGAATTCTGTTCCACTTCCCCATGGAGATAAGAGGAAATAAACAAGAACAAGAGCTAGAAAGAAAATAGAATACCCAGAGGGGTGTGTATATATATGCTTGTACATGTATGTGTAGTGTGACTTAAGTGCAAGTAGAAGTAGCAAGACATACCTGAAATCTTGCATGTTTATGAGACAGACAAAAGACACCAGCAATCCTACCATCATGTAAAACAATTACAGGTTTTCGTTGTACACTCACTTGGCAGGACGGTAGTACCTCCCTGGGCGGTTGCTGTTTACCAACCTACTACCTAGGGTAAATAGAATCATCAAAACTTATTTCTTGGGTAGCACTGAAAATTAGGTTGGGCAAATGTTTTGTTAGTGGGAAGGATTGTAAAGGACCTGCCTAGTATGGGCCAACAGGCCTGCTGCAGTGTTCCTCCTTTCTTATGTTCTTATAATAATAATAATAATAATAATCCTAGGTAGTAGGTTGGTAGACAGCAACCGCCCAGGGAGGTACTACCATCCTGCCAAGTGAGTGTAAAACGGAAGCCTATAATTGTTTTACACGATGGTAGGATTGCTGGTGTCTTTTTTTTTCTGTCTCATACACATGCAAGATTTCAGTTACGTCTTGGTACTTCTACTTTACACTTAGGTCATACTACACATACATGTACAAGCATATATATACACACACCCCTCTGGGTTTTCTTCTATTTTCTTTCTAGTTCTTGTTCTTGTTTATTTCCTCTTACCTCCATGGGGAAGTGGAACAGAATTCTTCCTCCGTAAGCCATGCGTGTTGTAAGAGGCGACTAAAATGCCAGGAGCAAGGGGCTAGTAACCCCTTCTCCTGTATATATTACTAAATGTAAAAGGAGAAACTTTCGTTTTTCCTTTTGGGCCACCCTGCCTTGGTGGGATACGGCCGGTGTGTTGAAAGAAAGAAAGAATAATAATAATAATAATCACATACATACTGTATATCAATGTGTAGTGTGAATACTGTGCAAAGAACATGGAATGAAGAAATTTGAAGACAATGTTGTGGAATGAAAGAAATACTAATTCAAAGAGAAGGGGCAGGGTTGCAGAGACAGCTGAAAGACAAAATCAATGAGCAAGATAAATTAGTAACAAAACGGTGGAAGATATTTGGGTGGATGGAAGATTCTTTAGGGAATACATGACAAAATGTTGGAGGAGGTTTTATTTTATACTAGGACACATGTGATCCACAAACTGGTTCTCAGATTTGCACCTCACATACGCAAACACCCATTTGAAATTTAAAATAATACGTGATAAAACAAATTTACGAAGCAGGGACACCATGAGTATAGCTGTTCCTTACTCCTCTAGCTATAAATAAGTAATCAGAATTAGTCACCCTTGCCCCAGTGGGAGATGGCCGGTTTGCTGAAGAAAAAAAATTAGGTAATTACCCACTTGTCAAATGCTGCTGGACCCATAACCTACAAGAGTTTATTTCTCAAGTTTTTAGCCACCAATCTATATGGCCACTTGGCACATCTTGATGCTTTACACATTAATGCATGACTAATGATCATGCCACTAATTACATCTTTAAACCCACCCATGGATCAGGGCAACATCTAGAAACAATGATTTAGAAACAATGGACAAAGTCTGTTGGTTACATAACTTATCTCTATCTATATTCACCACAATCACCATTATTGGCTGCCTGCTCTCCCTCTATTAGTTCAGTAAATCGAGGGGTTATTTATATAAAGTAAATAGCTGACTCCTAAGAAGCTGTTTAACAAACAAACTGCATAGAAAAAAAGAAGAAAAAGAAGAGGATGGAGCAAAATCCCTAGAACTGCTGACCATGAAGAAGCTCTGTCATCTCTCCAAACATGCAGAACAGACAAATAATTATGCAGAGACTACAGATCCAAATTTGAAAAGAAATTTGGAACTGAATATGAAGCCCTCCCCCCCTAGCAAAACAGCAATATGCAGCAAGGCAGCCCACAACCCACAATGTTGCACACAGCAAGGCAGCCCACAACCCACAATGCTGGATGCAGCAAGGCAGCCCACAACCCACAATGCTGCATGCAGCAAGGCAGCCCACAACCCACAATGCTGCATGCAGCAAGGCAGCCCACAATGCTGCATACAGCAGCAGCAGCATCTCCAAAACCACATGAATATGCATTTCCACTCCAGTGCAGCCTGGGGGACTGAAGCGAATGAGCTAGAAATTGTGGCCAACGAAGTGGATGACCCTCAAACTGATGACCCTCTAGGACTACTTGCCCCTGTCTTGTAGGTGACATAGCACTTTCAGTCCTTGTGAAATGTCTGACTCTGTGAACTGACTCGTTTGAACTTCAACTTAACCAATATACACAAAAAATTAACACTAATACTAAGTCTGGGTATACAGTCCAGGGGTGTCCAAAATGCATCCTCCCCATTCTTAGATACTGTACTGTACATATATACACAATTGCTGCTGATTCACCATTTAAAGTGTTGTATTTTCTTGTGAATGAACAGAGCCACAAATAAATGTGGGAATTCATGAGATATTTCTAGGTCCAATCCACAGCAAGGCAGCCAGTGCATACAACTTAAAATACAGATGTAATTTTTTTCATCACATCAGCCATTTCTCACCAAGAAGGACTAGTGGGGAGATAAGAGGAGTGAGAGAGCAGGAAAGAGCACTGGTTACAGACAGCAAGCAAGATCACTAGTGACAGAAAGCAAACAAGAGCAAGGTGACAAAGAGAGCAAGTTAATTTATTCTGACTAATCCTTTCACTGCCACCTACCCAGAAATTTACAAGCACTGACAGTGTCATGATTTAAAAAAAAATAAATTTAATGTGGCCAGTTTTACACAAAATTCCACAAATTCCAATTTTAAAAGAGTCCAAAATAAACACTGTAGGTACTCCAGCCACTAAAGCAACCCACCCTCTGTTCATTTATTATGTCTGCAGGCCTCTCCTATGTAACACTTACTCTCTAGTTTAAATCCATCATCCCAATAACTGAAACAAGAGCAAATACCCTTATGTTTAATGTTTATGTTTAGTGATTTAACTAACCACTGCCTGATTGCATTCAGAAAAAAGTTAAATTTCTTGAAGTATATTGATCACTGCTTTTTGTAAAGTTGTGACCCAATACAAAAATATATCTGTACAGAGTTCACCAAATGAGAATCTGTCTTCCAGGGAAGGTGTTGGTTACTATAAGCTAAGTATCACAATAATAATGATAATAGTGAAACTAAAATTACATTACAAAAACTTATTCCTCTATTAAGTTATTAATTTCTACATGTTGATTCCACACACAATTTCAGATTAGAATTTCTGCTCAAGTAGAGGGAAGATTTATGCAAATTGGTCCAGTTTGGGGAAGGACAGAACTGGATAAAGCCATCTTAAATGTGAGTACAGTACTGTATTCTTTAGAGGAAATTAAAAAAAAATTAGTGATTAAATTTACTTATTTATTCCAAGGATTTATTGGTTGTCACACTGACTGCTAAACTTCAGTGATTATTTATGACAAATAAATTCAATAATTTTTTATGAGGATCAGATTACACTAAATTCTTCAGAATTACTTCATACCCAGTACTGAACTGTAACATTATTGCTACTGTATATTGCACAAGGTCTTGCCAACTCTTCTAATCAAAATATACTAGGCCAAGAGTGGTGAACCTATGGTGCGTGTGCCCAAGAAGGATAAATAAGAATATGAGGTATGAAGAACTGCATAATGGCAGCAGTTTGCTAGAGCTCTCTTAGGGTCAAGTCAGTGTTCGAGGTCACTTCAAAGCACC